TCAATTCCAACTCAGTGACCCTACAGGACAGAGTAGAACTGCCCCATAGGGTTTCCAAGGAGTGGCTGGTAGATTCGAACTGCCAGCCTTTTGGTTAGCAACTGTAGCTCTTAACCTCTACGCCACCAGGGTTTCCTACCACGGGAGTTTCCAATTCCCTGCTCTAGATCTTCTTACTCTCTAAAGCTCACAGTGTTTTTAACACATTATTTATTATTTAGGCTCACACTTTGCACTCACTTTAGAATGTAAGCTCCATGATGGCAAAGATGTCAGTTGGCTTTGTTTACACATTATCCCATGCCTGGCACCCAAGAGGCCCCAATAAATGCTTGTTGAATGAATTAACAGGATTAATAACTAGGCGAGGTCTTCTCCTGGCAGAAGCCGCTGGCCCCAAAAGGCACAGGGCTGGGCTTCCACATGGTCCCTCGGGGAACTTGCCTACCCTATTCTTAACACTCTGGTCAAGGCAAGGGCCACTGGACGCCATGCTGGGGATACCTGCATGCTTGTGGACCCTGCCTCACTCAGACCGAGGTTCCAGGATATGCAGCTCCTTGGCAAGGAGAATCCCAAAATAATATAATTGACCAGAGTCACATAGTCCCATGCCCAGATGTCCCTCTCGCCAAGCCCTGGGACACTAAGTCAGGTGATTCGAGAGAAGACTCTGATCTGTGCTGAATTCTTGAAGGGTAGACTCAGGTGCCCAGGAGCTTCCCTGTCCCCATGCCCAGGGAGCCTCTCCTAGCTCAAGAATTCACTGTGGTTCCTGGGAAGGGGAAGGAGTGGGGTGACTCCTGCTTCCTCTCAGAGGCAAGGCCACCCCAAAGGGAGCTGGACAAGGCCCTGGCATTGGGCTGCAGGGAGGGTCTCCAGGCGGTGAGCTAGGGCTGAGGAAGGGCAAGCAGTGCCGGTGGCCCCACTGGGGGAAGCCCATTTCCTGCCCCCATCCCATTTCTTCCCTGTGACCTGCTCCTGGGCAGAGGAAAACAAAATCACCAAGCAGACCTGGCATGCCTCGACCCAGAAGGAGCCCTGATAACTGTATCGCCTGAGCGAGATAAGAAGGCAACTTGGAGGTGAGAACTCAGGGTAAGTGTGTCCAGACAGCCAGTGCTGCTTAAAGCAGCCAACCCAGGAGCAGAGGCCATCAGCCCCCAAGCCAGGTGTCTCAAACAACTGCCTCTGACAAGTCTGGAAAGCCCAGGAAGGCTGAATAATCCCCCAAGAAACTAAGCCTCCTCATACTGCTCTTGGACACTTCTGCCAGGGATGCTCAGTGTCCCCAGTGGGGTAGGCAGGGGGTCACAGACTGATGGCAGAGGCTCCAAGGAGCAGGAGAAGTGGCAAGGGCCACTGGGACACAGGTGAAGTTGAGAGGACACTGCCATCTATCTACCTCCGCCCCCCACCCCCAGGAACAAGGTCTTGATTTAAAAACCTCTGACCTCCGGAGGCTTTCAAAGATCACAAAATCGCAACCTCCGCTGCTCCCAGATGGAGAAGCCAAATTCCCTCACAACCCACCAGGCAACTCCAAAAGACACAGGCGCTGCCCAAAGGCCTGCGTGGTGAAGCTCACCCTTACTGGCGCCTGCTGTGAGCTGGGCCACACATGTTCCTGACATTTTGCGTCCCCTCATCAACATGTGTACAAATTGGGCTCACTAAGTGACTGAGCCAAGGGCCCACAGCAAGGCCATGACTCAAAACTACCCCGGGCAGCTGGAAAAATGCTAAAAAAACAATAAATATTATGTTTGAGGGAGAATTTTTTTCCCTCTCATTTTATACTTCCATATAATGTTTGCTCTTCCCCACCACGCACTTCTATTACCCTATTGCTTTTTTAAATGAACAGGAGCCGTCTGGTATTAGGGGTCTTTTTTCGTGGTGCAAATGGTTACACGCTAGATTAATAACTAGAAGGTTGGCAGTTTAAACCCACCCAGAGGCATCTCAGAAGAAAGGCCTGGTGATCTACTTTCAGAAGGTTACAAATCATCGAAAACCCTAAGGAGCACAGTTCTACTCTGGAATACACGGAGTCACCACTGTAAGTCGGTTTGGTTTGTGTGTGCTAAAACGTTCCTAAGTTTCTGGGGTGATGAAAATGGTCTGGAACCAGACAGTGATGACAGTTGATTGTATTAAATGCCACTGAATAAATACTCTTCAAAATGGTAGATTTTATGTTATGTACATTTTATCACAATTTTTAAAAGTTACTATTACTTTAAAAACACAACTAAGTCAAACAATAGTTTAGCTTAACTAGTAAAAAAATGTCTGCCTTGAGCACTGTGCTCTTTCAAGATCTGTCTATATGGGATCAAATTGACAACAGCAACTGAATCATTAGATAGGAACCTTGGCGGGCAGTCAGTTTCTGTTCATGGGGGAGGAACAGCTCAGAAAAGGAGGGTGAGAATGGTTGCACAACTCAAAGAATGTAATCGATGTCACTGAATTGTACATGTAGAAACTGCTGAATTGGTGTATGCTCTGCTGCGTGTATTCTCAACAACAACAAAATACATAAAATTTAAAAAAAGAAGAAACAAGTCTTGATTACTTAAAAAAACACAAGTATTAACCCGCCACCAAATGAGCCAACTTTCTCCTATAGTCCACTGCCTCAGGGAGGATTGGGGACCCACAATGGCCTCCCACAGACTGGCCCAATCTAATCTCGGTGAAGAGGGCGGGCCCCGAGAGCTGGGTTGGGTCCTGGCTGCCACAATTGAGCACCGTGGGCAGGTCGCTTAAGAAAAAACCAAACCTGAGTTCCACACGCATAAAATAAAGGAGCCGAAACATCTCTCCAAGATCCCTTCCTGCGCCGAGCTCAGCCCACACACACCTAGACTCTCTCCAAAGCCACTTCCCACCTTGGTCTCCCCCGGGTTACGCCAAGGTCTTCTTGGGCTCCTGGGCTCTTCCCACTCCGGTTTGCTTGACGTCCTGACACGCCCATCCCCTTCCTTCTCGGAATCCCCTCGGCAGCACGATGGGACCCAGAGTTGTAAACTCCTGCAGGCGGTGCCGAGAGCCCGGGAGCAGAAAACCTGCATCAGCACATGCATCCCCATGGGAAGGGACGCTGACTCTAAGCCCTGCCTGCCTCACCCAAAGCTCACTTGTCTCAGGTGAGGCCCTCAGGGGCCCGTACCGCGGCTCCCCTAGTTTCGCTCAGCTCTCTCCACAACCAAGGCCCAATCTGTCCACGAACCGTCCAACCGGATCAAACCAAGAGCAAACTTTGCACACTTTCTTTGGCAAGACAGAATTTTCCACCTCTCGCCAAGTCCGAATCTCCCACAGAGCAATAATCCCCACCCCTGCTGGCGTGGAAAACAGACTGGGTCTCCGTCTAAAGGTGTCCAAAGCCGCCTCGGGCGGAGAAAGGCCCTGAGACCGAAGTCTCTCCGGCGGGCTTCCTGCGTCCGGGGATTAGGAGGCACAAAAGCCCGGGAGGGAGCGGGCCCAGATGGCAGGGGCTAAGCCGCCGAGGTAAAGCGCTCCGGCGGCCGCTCGGGGACAGACGGCCATCCGGAGACGCGTGTCGCCGACCTCTCGGCCAGGCGTCCTGCACGTGCGGTCCGAGGCCCGGGGTCCCCGTCTCCGACGCAGTGTCCCCGCACGCAGCCGCGCCGGGCACCTGTTTTCCCGCTCCCCAAAGCCAACACCATTGTGCAAACCCGAAACCCAGATTCCGTCATCGCAGGAGGATTAGGCAGAGAGAAGTTCCCGGCGGCTCTTTCTACAGGTGTCTTTCTCCCGGAGGAGCCAGCGCTAGGGCGCGGCGGTCGAACCTGGGCACAGCCCTCCCCGCCCGGACCGGGAAGCCCGGGTGTCTCGGCCCTCGCCTGCCTCCCTGCCCCGGTGGCGGGCGCCCCAAGGGGTCGGGCCGGGCCAGGTAGGTCCCGGGTCCGCGTCT